ACCATCGTCTATCAACCCTCAGTACTAATCTTACTTTCCGATCTAATTAAAAAAAAAACAGGAATTAAATATTTGTATAATTATTTAATCACAATATAATTCACGGATCGTAAATTAAATGGTTTGTGTATCTAGTCAAGTGAGGAGTGATTATATGAAGACCTTACCTGTTGGAGAGGGGGAGGTGGAGGGGGGAGGCCAGAGGTGGCTGTGGTTGTTGGTTTATCTGCACGAGACTAACAGGTATTGTAATACATTTAAATTCATTGACACACACACATCATTCACACACACACACACACACACACACACACACACACACGTCACTCTCTCCATCAAGCAGTCTACATGTACTGTCCATAACTGTTCCTCTAATCTTTTAAGTGTAGCGGACGAGCCAATACATTACTAGTCTCCTGTTGTAAGGATCGCTAGTTCGAACCCCAGACACATACCGGCACATCACTCATCACTAAACATCTTTCATACCATGTGATGTGAAAGTCCTCCCCGGAGACTTTACCATATAAACGTCACCCCTTTCACATATACTATTTGGTCAACGCTGCGTGTAAATCCGTCAGAAACAGAGGGCGTTGACTTTACAAACTTGTGATTACCAACAAGCAACTTTTAATGACAGACAGACAGATAGACAGACAGACAGACAGACAGACGAGGGATATGCCCCCAATAAAACGACTGCTACAGCGCCATCGTCCATGCTGAGGGGAATAATAAGTGATTATGTAATTATCTTCTAATTAAAAACATCTACACCTGCAGGAGATTGTCATGTTGTGAAGTGTTAATTTCTGCAATATAAAAAAAATATATCACGAATTCTCAATCAATGTTGGTGTGTTTGTTGGTGTGTTTGTTGGTGTGTTTGTTGGTGTGTTTGTTGATGTGTTTGTTGGTGTCTTTGTTGGTGTGTTTGTTGATGTGTTTGTTGGTGTGTTTGTTGATGTGTTTGTTGGTGTGTTTGTTGGCGTTTGTTGATGTGTTTGTTGGTGTCTTTGTTGATGTGTTTGTTGATGTGTTTGTTGGTGTGTTTGTTGATGTGTTTGTTGGTGTGTTTGTTGTTGGTGTGTTTGTTGATGTGTTTGTTGGTGTGTTTGTTGGTGTGTTTGTTGGTGTGTTTGTTGGTGTGTTTGTTGGTGTGTTTGTTGGTGTGTTTGTTGATGTGTTTGTTAATGTGTTTGTTGATGTGTTTGTTGATGTGTTTGTTAATGTGTTTGTTGATGTGTTTGTTGGTGTTGTCAGTCTCCACCTAGGACTGTTTCACCTCACTCAAGTCTTCCAAAAATAAACAAATTTAAGATTACCTGAGAGTGCCTCCCCCTCCCCCCCCCCCTAACTTATATAACCTAACGCTACCTGGGGGTTAGGTTAGGTTAGTATCACTGTACACAAACATCAAGGGACTACGTAAACACAAGCATTAAAGGTCTTGGTAAACACAAACACCAAGGGACTTTACAGCCTACTCCCCCTGTAGAGTTTTTCACAAGGTATCTGTCACCTGTATTGACTATGAGGAGACTGAAGCTCATGTTAAGGCTTACCTACGATCTTTCACCCCTAAAATAGACCTGAGGACTAAATAAAACCAAGAGAAAAACAATAATATTACCAGGGTGTTGGGGCATAATGGGGCAAGAACAGAGAAAACGGCGACCGGGTGTACTTAATGTAAAGATGAGGAGGAGGAGGAGGATGATAAACGCAGAAAAAGACGTAAAATGAACATAATTTGATTTCTACTCCGACAAAAAAATAATACTGATTAAATCAATGTTTTAATTAGTTTGAGTAAATAAAACTCACGCCCTGCTAGGGACATCTACATTTTAATTGGTCGCTTCACAATGTCAGAGGTTTTGATTGGCTGATGGCTGGCGTCTGATCCTTGGCCAGCACGCGACGAGACTCATTATGTCGTCAACAAAATTTTAATTTGCTACCATGGATCGCCTTCATATATAAATGATAATGTGATTTTGTGAGTTAATTCAATAAATTTACAGGATCAAAATGAGAGGTTTTATAAAAAGCTCGTCACATAACTCAATAATGAATGGTTATTAATACCAAACAGTTATAATGGTGTCAAGCTGTCAGCCAGTCCTAAACTTGAACTTTTCCGGGAATATTTACATCATCCAGGACCAATGCAGGTCACACATTCAACCTAACAATCTCCTATATTACCTTCATCTTAAAAGACATTAATCGCGTGCTGCTCTTATAAAGATTAAGTTAATAGCGCAATTGAGAAGTCACTTTTTTGAGAAAGCCTTGTCACGTACTAGACGGATCATGATTGGTGCAGCAGACCCACGAGTCCCTCTCTCTCATTGGATACTTGCATAATGGTGCTACAGTGTGACTGGCTCAGAGGCAGTATGAGTCCCTCTCTCTGATTGGCTCTGCGTCACAACCCGCGTCTTGTACTGAGGTTTGAGAAGTCGAGGTCGTGGGACAATGTTAAAAACTT